GCAATTTTTTCACCTTGTTCCTTTTTTAAAATACTTCTGATAGTACTATAATTCTTGGGTTCCATAGTAGATCTGATGTAAATTAATTTCATATTAACTATTTTATATAGGGACAGTTCTATATATCACTTAACAAATGGGGCATTATAAACTAATTGTAATGATAATAACTAAATTTTGATCCCTGAAATCCTTGGTAATACCAATGTTCACTTTGTATGGTTTTGTTGCAGTATGCCCCATATATTGCTGATGCAAGTCAGCATAGATTAAAAAAACAATCTGCTAAGGTTGCATTTTTTGATTCAAGGATTCCAATTGCATTTTTTATTGGTTGAAGGACTATGGTTAATTGACGTATGTCATCAAAAAAGCCATGTGAATTGATTGTTCTAATGCATAAGCTACTTAAATTTTCTGGTTTTTCTCTTATAATCTATAATTAGAAAATATAAACTTTTTAAAATATTTGAATTGTCATGTAAAACAAAGAATTAATTCTTACATCTTCAAAAGCAGAACGTAATCTTAATATTATCTCACATATATAAAAGACAGTAGACCATCTAGTTTTTGTAAAGGTTTTAATTCCACCACCTTTTATTTGCAGCTTTTCCATTGATTCACAAAGTGCTGCCATTCCCAAATGTGACTTTTTAAAAAAATTTACCAAAGTTTTGCATTTTTTAATTGTATTATCTGCAAATTCATGTTTGCAGAGGTCTTTTGAAAGTAAATTTAGATGATGGGCAACACACCACATTGTAAATATATTTGGGTATTTTTCATTAATTTTACATCTAGCAACAACACAATTTACAGCTCTGTCTGTAACTAAACCAACAAATTTCTTGGGGCCAATTTGTTCAATAACCTTTTCAATTTCAGCTGTCAGAAAATCCCCAGTGATACTAAAAGAAGAAAAATCCTCTATTTTCCAAAGGTATTCTCTTCTATCTGAAGACATGAGTACAAAATTGTATAAATTTCTATTATTGGGATTACTCCAACCATCAATGGCTAAAAATAAGGATAATTAATTGATCATTCATTAACAAAAAATATTTTGAGTAGCCAAAAATATTTACCAATTGTAATATTCTCTTCTTTTTGAAGTTCTTCATGGATTTTTATTGTAATTCGAGCATTTTCTGAATTTAAAATGGTATTTGAAATTGATGTACGACTGGGTGGGTCATAGGCTGGTTTAAGTTGCTTACAGAATTCAATGAAAAATGGGTGTTCAACAACAGCAAATGGAATAGAACAAGTTATAAAAAATCGTCCCAGAGCTTGATTGGTACTGTTTTGTTTGTTATCATTCAATTTTGTACTTTCCATATAATCACCAGTATGAGATTGATTATTTTTTTAATTTTTTCACAATAATTACAGGTAGCTGCATAATGTCCCCTACTACTAGAAACAGTTTTATTAAAATGGTTCCATACTTGCATCTCAGGTCTTCCTGAACTGGATTTCTGGTAATAAATGTAGATGTAGAAACATTATCTTCAGAAGAATTCATAACTGTAATAAAAATCGATTCTTTGGAAGGTGAGCGAATTTATTTTTTGTGTTAATTATGGATAATCCTTTAAATAAAAGAAAGCAAATGGAAAAAAATTTTTTTTTGTTACAGTCCCTGGCGAAAGTAATGGCGCGTAATTTTTTATGAATAAAAAATGTACTTTATTAAAAATTTAAAAAAAATTTTTTTTTTCTTAAAGCCAAATAGTATGGCTATAACATTTATTATGGTGTTAGTACTTTGTATGAGCTCCTTCGGCATCGATGCACGATTGAACCCGATTTTGCATGCTACCGATGCTATTAACTATGACGTTTTTTTCGATTCCCTCCCATTCCTCCCTAATAA